GAGATTTTATGTAAAGGCTTTCATTCCAAGACATTATTTTACTGTATATCCCCAAATACATTATTATCTGTTCTCATTTCCCAAATAATAAAAAACAAAGATGAAGCTCTGAAGCGTAAATATAAAATCTGATTAGATTTGATAATTGAATAATAAGGATTGTCATTTATTCCTTGTGTGCCTGCAATAATTTAGTCATAGTATTTTTTTTTAAATGTCAAATATCTCATTTTGGAATTAGATTCTTATTTTTTCTTTATATTGATGATCTTACTGACACTGTTTGACACTACAGGTCAGAGTGGAGTGTGTTGAAGCTTCGTGTTGACTGTTGATCAGTCCGCTCATCAACCTGCTTTCTTTGTCTTTATTGTCTTAATGTAGAAGCTCCACAAAGTAACGAGGCACATAACTTAATAATGTCTGATGGTTTTGACGAACTGGGCGACAGTTTGGGCAACAACTTCAGCAACAGGCAAATTAAAAGGTTTTTAAAGTTCTGACTGACACTTAAACGAGATAAATTCAAAGTAGCTGTATATGGCAGCAAAGATATAATAATAATATACACACAACTTTTATGATTTGTAAAAATGCTCATTTTTGTGCATTTTAATAATGATTTAAACAGTATTTTCACTCATGAATTTGCTCTTATTGTGACACTTTTAGTTGTTAAAACTGTTAAAATTCTTCTCTTTAAAACATTTTTCTTTGGTAATACTTCCAGGTAAGAACGTTAATTGTACGTATATACTGACTTGTATCATCAGAAACACTGTCGCCCAGTTTTAGGTCAAAGTTGCTCCGACTGTTGCCCTCTCCATCGCTGCTGTTACGTTTTAAAGATGAGCAGCAGAGAGAGAAAATGACATATCACAGGAGGGAAATCTTAAAAATCTGTCCTGAAACTACAATTTCTAATCAATTTTTACTACACAAAATGATTTCTGAGTGGTGATTATGATGACATGAATGTAAATGTGTGATTTATGAAAGCACAGAAAGGTTTTATTTGGCTTTATGTGTGTTTCTTGTTAAAGCAGTGAAGGTAAAAGTGTAACAGTCTGTCCTTTTGTTGTTGTTGTTGTTGTTGTTGTTGTTGTTGTTGTTTTCTCCTCCCATGCCTATGGACCATGTTGTTGTGTGGAGCGGTCATGTGGATGGTTGGACAAAGTATTTTCTCAGGTTGGGACAAAAAATAGTTTTATAGTGTAAACACAGCGCCCTCTATCACCCCCTATAGAACTGCAGCAATACTGATAGAGCTTTACCACTACAACTATAAATAAATATAAATGTAATGTGCCATCAGATATGTCAAGTGCATTAGTTGTGCCTATTTATCAGACGCCTAGTTACCATGGCAACATATTGGATGCTGCACCCTCCCCATGCACCGCTCCACAACTCAAGAGGCTCCTAAATTGTTTTTCGTGTAGCCTGTAATTATTTTAAGGACACTGTTGTTCCACGAGACACCAATGCAGAACTTTTGGCTCCATGTAAAATATGAAACACAACCGTCCTCTGTATATGTTGTCTATACAGTAAATAAACAAATGGTCCTGGATGAGACTGGCATTCGTGATACTGCTTGTCCTGTGTAATTGCTGCTCTCCCACACATGAAGTCTTCCTCCTGTGCTGGTGATCTTCACGAGGCAACACCACACTCTCACTAATTATGGTGTTGTTAGAGAGTAACGTGATATAACTTAGCATTAGGATACGGAGGAAGTCTCACCAACAATATGTGATTGTCAGGAAGTTAGTCTGCAAACACTTTTTACTGAGCAGTACTGACGTTTGTCCTGCAAATTATTGTACATCTTAACTGTATTAGATTTAATGACTGATTTTTATTTTTATTTTATATTTATTTTAACTTAACTCAATAGCACTGAGGGTAATGTTAAGTATCTTAGTGCCCTCTGCTGCTCATTACTAACCCTTAAGTTACCATCAATTCACTGATTAGTAAATGGATTGTATAGACTGCATATTAGAAAGGACATTGTCTCCGGGGCTGGAAAGTGAAGCCAATGCGGAAGTGCCTTAATGTGCAATACCACCGAGGACCGCTGGGGGCTGGCGCCAAAAAACTCTGGTTCCAATACACACTCATTATAAAAACACCAACTTCTCTCATGAAATACTCAGTCGATAAATGTTTTCCAGAGGTCATTACGGTGTGAGGGGCTATATTCACACCTTTCGTTCAGTGTTCTGGTGGTCCATCTGAAAATAATCATCTAATTAATTAGATATTGGGCAGATAACAGGTATTTTTGGGGGCGTGGCATCATGCCTGGCCTGCAATGATTGATCAGATGACGCGGCAGGCCGGGAGGTCGATCACCGGAGGAGAGCTTGGGTCGTGTGCTCATCGTATTGAATCAGTTGTGTTAAATTTATATTATTTTTCTCAGTATTTGTCGGTGGAGGAAGAATTTTTGCTGTTAGTTCTTTAGTTTTAATGATTTCCTGTTCACAGTAATTATGGCTCGTTCTTCGGCGCTAACAGACTGCACTTTGCTAACGTAGCTAGCTAGCTAGATGATAACTTCGTGTTTGTTATGCTAACCGTACCTGGTCCCAAACATGCAAACATTTGCAGGACAAGGATAAATATAGTTTAGAAATTAACTCAGCATCATGTTATTAGAAAAAAATCTGTCGCAGGTAGAATTTTCTTACATGCAGCAAAACATGCAGGTTCATCTCATTAACTTATTTTCTGTCTCCTCTTCTCCCTGGTATCGTATTGTGTTGAGTACAATACACAATGTATAGTAGAACATTATCTTGCAGGGGTTTGTCATTTAATACTGTAAATTCATTCACTGGAGTCCTCAACTGAAGCAGGTATTCATGCACCTGTCCTGACAGCTGGTATATGTGTGTGTGATTAACTGTGATCCACCATGTCTGAACTAAAGTGTTTGTCTTTTACTGTCATTCAAAGAAATCCACACTGAAAACTGAATGACTGGTGCCAACAGAAGGAGAACCTCATGTATGGACGAAGGAGACTGCATGGACAACCTTAGTTCTCAAATGGGCTGTGATGATGATGATCAGAACTTGCCTGCTTTTGTTCCTGGCTGCTCCAAAGCCTGAAATGATGTCACTTCCTCTTTGTGATGTCATTTAAAAGCAGCAGTACATTGTTTATAGACAAAACATGTTGGTGTGACGGGTGGTAAATCAAAATGAGGGACACACACGAATCATTACATTTTTTACAAAAAAAGTATGTTTTTATTTAAAAAAAAATCTTAAATAAATAAAGTAAAGTAAATAGGGAAACACATAATCCTGACAATAATAAAAGTCTGATGAAAAAAAAACATTTGTTGGTGATGTTTTAGATACAAATGTCAAGTTGTTTAATACGAACATGTGAGAATTACCATGTTCTAAGGAAAAATGGCTAAAAATAGTGTGTCAGTCTTTAAAAATGGTATTTTCTCATTTAGCATCATGGCAAGAGTACTTGATTTTAAGATCTGGAAACACACTTTTGCACATTTCTGTGCCTTATGCATCTCATCAAATGTTATGAACCCAAATAGCTCCTGTTTCATAGAATGACTCAGCTATCGCCTATATGAGATATAGTGGTACAGCTTTATTGCAGATCAACTTCTGTAAGGGCATGTACGTGTGTGTATACATGTCTTACTGTGGTTGTGGGGACTAATTAGAGTTTGAAATCATCAGTATGAAGTTATTTTGGCCAGTCGCGACAGCTTCAAAAGGCTCTTTGAGGGACACCTGCAGTGACTGAAGTCAGTGTCAGGATGAGTCTCTAGACATGAATGAAACTGAAGAGTGAAGTACACGCAGCAGGCACATTCCAAATTTCTCCAGGAATTGTTTTGTTTATTATTCTCTGTCCTCAGTGTTCACAGATTCAGTTTCTTGCCTTTTACTTGATTGGAACAGATGGAACTGACCCACCAGAAGTGCAACCTGAAGCAAAATGAGACTCTTCATAGATGTGATGCTGTGACCTCAGAGAGGTATGTATTCACCTTACACACTCTTTAGTGTGAACTGAAAATTGACAGTTAAGATTTTTAAGCAGTTGTCAGTATAGTACAGCCCATGTTCATTAGTTTTATTCATAACTTAATTGTCATCGAAAAGGTTTTTAATAAATAAACCGTCTGTGATTAAATTGTACTGAGTATGTTTTTATCATATTCACCATCTGCCTCATGATGGATCTAATGGGACACTTTGGTGAATTAGAGTTTTCATTGTTATAAAAATTGGTAAGTATAAGACAAATTAGAAAAGCACAAACTCTAGTATCTATCTCTAGATCTTGTATTATCACTGTTGAAGGACGGACACATTTAAGCATTTCTATCATTTTTGTTGTTGATTAAAGCAACATAGAAATTCTTGTAATTCATTACTAATTCAGGAAAAAGTTTAATGTGTTGTGTAATTTTTTATACTGTGCGTTGCTACTGTTAAAATTGATACCAGACATGGAGCATGTCTGGTATGAAAAACCATCGACCAAACAAAGCTTGATAAAATACAAACAAAGCTTGATAAAAAAAACAACAACTTTATTTCACATTACACCTCTGGAAGATGTACAAAAGGTAATGTGTGGTGGACGTGCACACGACCACTCATGATTTTTTAAAATGCTCTTTTCCTCATAAACTTATCGATTTCTCTCTCTCTAAGCGCCTTTTATCTGTTTTTGAAGAATTAAAAAGTAGTCTGAAATCGTACAGTTGTGATAAACTGTTAAATTTACAATGAGTTGATGTGGGAACATTTACATTATAAGCAGAAATAATAAAACATTATTTTTCTCCCTCTTTTCCCGACAGCAGTGTCGTTTCCCGGGTGGGGTTGTAAAAACCAAAACACTCCACCTTATTCAGCGCACCACGTGATCTGAAATCTGTGCTCTGATTCGTCGACCGCCCTGTCAATCACTCCGAAGGGGCTCTTCAGACAGGAGTTTGTGGTCGGAGCAGAAACAGCCGTCAAAGCAAAATGTCCTCAGTGCCTGATGGAAAGAAGCTGGTCCGGAGTCCCAGCGGCCTCCGCATGGTCCCGGAAAACGGCGCCTTTAACAGCCCCTTCTCCCTAGACGAGCCGCAGTGGGTTCCGGATAAAGAGGTGAGGCGGACGGGTTGATTTTTTTGACAGCGAGAAGCTATCCGAGCTGTACGGAGACCAGCGACAATTTAGCTAAAATATGAAACGTAGCGTTTCCGTTCCGTATTTTCAAAATAAAACCTATATCTTTTCTATAAGTTGTGAAAGTGCGGCGTTGCTAATACATGACATTTTGACAGACATGTTGAAATAGCTTTTTTGTGTCAATAACAGTCTAAAACCCAACGATATTGAGTTTATTATTATAGAAAAATGAGAAAGTCAGTCATCAATAGAAACTCTTGACTTAATGAATATTTGGATGTTTTTGCTTTAAAAATTATTTAAACAAGTATTTAGTCTTATCTTCTGTCAATTGACTTATTGATGAAATGATTTATTGTTTAATTTCGTATGTAAAGTTTAAACAGTATCGTTAACATCGAGACTATATTGTCGCCAGTTGGAATACTTTTATTTTTGCGGTAAACTCTCTTAACATCCGGTACATCCGTGCTAACTGTGGTGGTTTTGACGCAGCTCTGGACACTGCACTTGGCCCCCGGACTGGGCGTTGCAGGCAGGAACGGTCAGCCTGGCAGCTAATGGAGTCAGTTATTTAACCAGCTAGTTAACACGTAAAACTAGTTGTCAGACGCAGTCGTGATGTTTACCTTTAGTTAGAGATCATTCACGTCACAAAGCAGCTGTTGTTTTGTGTGTTAGCTGACAGCTACGTGCACGGTTAGCCTGTCACGTTCAGCTAGCTGGAGGAGCTGTTATGCTAGCTCTTCATATTATTCCATGGAAAGCAGCTTTCCGTGTGAGTGAGCGGTGGTCATTTAATATATGTCAGAGCTATTAAACTGCAGTTAGACAAACACCAATTGTCTCCTCAAGTGTATATAACTGTGGCTGTCCCCAGAGGCACTTTGACCAGACTGGCAGTGAACTACAGCCAGAAAAGTTAATCATTTATCATCTGCTGGTGTTTGTGTCCAGGATGAATCTGCAAATAGATTATAAGAGGACAATCCCTGATTATTTGGGGAGAGGTGTCTGCAAGGTTTGAGAAGTATTAAAGAAGCATTGAATTCAGTTCCCTCCAAAAAGAATGTAAACAAACTGTAATATACTGATTTATTAATGGTTAATAAATCATCATTCAGTAATGCTTTATAGATGAATCCTAAGCCATTAATAAAGTTGTCCTTTTATCCATTTAATTCATGAGGAAGACCTCTCCAGTGGAGTCTTTGACTCCTGCTGGAAAAGAGCTGCAGCACATCTGGACCAAAATCAATTTATAAACTGCTTATCAATATTTACAACTGCAGACTTCATAGATTGTAGAACCCATGGTTTATTAACATTTATAATTACAGGTCCCTGACGAACTTTTGCTGATGGCTCAGAAATTGAGAAACCAAAGACCGTTTATTGTGTCATACTAACATTTCCAACGAAAAACCTGATGCCTTATTAGAAAGACAGAAACTTATTAATGGTTTGTTAATATTTATCACTGCATAGTTACTACATGGAAACACATAGACCGTGTTATCATGAAAACATTTTGTTTAAACACTGATGCTTGAGAGTCTTCATTAAACCAACAGATAAAATTGTCATAAAAACAGCTCACATTTACTGTGTCGTTCCACGACCTGGCAACCCATAAGTTGTTCTTCTGATCTATAAAATATCTATAAAGCATCGTCTCTTACCTCCCGTTGACGGTAATGTTAGTTCTAAAAGGTTTCTGCAAGTGGTCTCAGGCTATCGGGAGACATTAAACTAATAGTGGGATTGTTGTGACAGTCGATTAAAACTGTTCTGTCCTGTTATTGTGAAGTTTCAGTCGGTACCATCAGACCTGTAGCAAACACTGTCACTACTGTTAACTACGGCAGCTAGGAAATGTATCTGGGTGCAGGTCAGGGTCCACATTAATTTAAGTAATTAAATAATCAGGAATTATTGTTATACAGATCCTATTGATTCTAGTTATAGATAATGAAAGTTTAGTATTGGTGTGGTGGCATCAGAAATTCCATCTGACCTCTTTTTTATTTCTTTTTTTTTTAAGACATGATCTGAAATGAGTTTATTGCAACCTCAGCTATTTCAATCATCAAGTGATTTCAGTTCCTTAAACGTGAGAATTTGTTGCTCCTTTATGTCGTGTGTGATCATAAGCTGAATGTCTGACGTTTACATGCAAAACAATTAATAGAATAATCAAGAAAATCATCTGTAATCAAAATAATCATTATTTGTAATCCTAATATTTTCCTTGTGTCATGCAAACAGAGCAGAGTGACGTGTACATCAACCCTCTTTATTTAAAAAAGAAGGTAGTGACAAATCTTTTTTTTTTTGTTGTGCCGCAGTTGGAATATTTTATCTAAAATATATCATATAAAAGACTCTTTGAGGATTCTGGAAATACCTGAAAAACAACAATATGTGCTTTTACTGAACCTCGAGTCACCTAAGCTTTGTGGCTCGATTGTATTGATAATACTCAAGAGGCACAAGCTGGTGTCATTTTTGAAATATTTTTCTGGTTGCAGTGCAGTTACAGTTTCAGACACTTTCTCACGCTTTTCTAAGTAATGGAGGAAAATTTGATTCCACTCCTTCTTAACTGTATTTCCGGTTGTGTTTAGGCAATTTGATTGTGAAACTATTTGTCACATAATCTTTAAATGTCTCCATCCACCATCATTAAGCAGCAGCTTTATTATTGTAGCTAATGTGTTTTCATGTACAACAAAACCAACCTCATGATGGTAAAAGTTTATTGTAGTTTAATGGCTGAGTAAAAAGTAAAACGACATGTAATGGGAAAGATAGTTCAGAACATTCGTCCAGCTGCTGTGGAACTTGAATCCACCCAGCTCAGCATGTTGTGTAACTTCCTGTTTTTTCCCTTTCTCTCTCTCCCCGTCTTCCAGTGTCCGAGATGCATGCAGTGTGACACCAAGTTCGACTTCATCAGAAGAAAGGTCTGTTTTGTTTTGCAACACGACTGTGACAACAAGTCACAGCTTCACGTATCTGATGCTGAAAAAAAAAAAAAAAAAGAGACGAGGGACAAACACACAAGTACAAAATATTTTCCTGAAGAATTCAAGGCTGTTATTTTTTTCCCCGCTCTTGGTTTCTGTTCATTTATTTTGGCAGGAAAACACACTCAGGGCTCTGCGGTGGCATTTTTCTACTGACATAATAACAGTGTAGATCTGTGCGTCTGCCCAGTTGTGTCTTTGCAGATTCACCAGAAAATACTGTGTGTTTGTTTATAGTAAAACCAGCTCAGAAAACCTTTCATTTTACTGTGATCCAGCTGTGTGGAACAAAAACAAGAAATCCAAATGACTGAAGTGAATCATTGCATACACACACTAAGAGCTGAGGTCACTTTTTGAATTGCATAATTCATGTCTTTTATATTACTCACTTCTGAGTTGTCTTGAGGTTTTAATAAATACAATTTATGTTTTTCCACATTTAATCCATCCATCCATCCAAATCCATTCATAATGTGTCTTATGATTTTCATAATTTCTGACAAAGAGCTCAGTGTTTAATTTTCTGTGCCTTTTTAAAAAAAAAAAAAAAAAAAGTGCTGTCCTCAAGATTTTTCTAGTGACCTTAAACAACCAGACGACCTCAGTATATCTGCAACTTATTGTCAAACTGAAACTTTGGAATATTAAGCTTCACAACTCATCATTAAAATGTCTTTCTGTCTTCCTGGAGCTGTTTCAAAACCAACTACAGTTTATTTAAATATTTTTTTTCTGCAGTGAGCAGGTTCCCCCTTTTCCTTGTGTATTGCCTTGTGGCAGAAAAGTGCACATAGTCACTCGATATCTGCATAGAAATAATAAGGAATGAGGACATACAGTAGGAAATGTCTCATATGCGTCTAATGATGGGACACAATGCAGCTCAGGTGTTTCCTCTGATGAACAACATATTCTTTCATATTTTTTAAATAGTACATTCAAGAGTTTTCACTTTTGATGTAAACGATATTAGCAACAAACTGAAAAATATGCCTATATACTTATACTTATACTTATATACTTATATATTCACGAGGCTTGGGCTGATATTTGATCATATCCTTCTGTACTTTTTAAACCAGCAAACTGACAGTAAAACCGACTGTATGTGTTTTTTGCTGCAGCACCACTGTCGGCGGTGCGGCCGGTGCTTCTGCGATAAATGCTGCAGTAAGAAGGTGGCGCTGCCCCGCATGTGTTTCGTGGATCCCGTGCGGCAGTGTGCCGAGTGCAGCCTGGTGTCCCAGAAAGAGATGGAGTTCTACGACAAGCAGCTCAAAGTGCTTCTGGGAGGTGAGAAGTTCCACCTGTTCATTATTTTGAATTGTGCAACACCTTCGGTCAGAGTTTGAAGTAACGTGGTTTTAATACGTTTATAAAAAGTTTAGGTGGTTATTGTTTCCAGATTTTTACCTCAGATTCTTTAAGTTAGAATAGTCATCAGTGGTTAATGAGCTTCAGTACAGGTGATTTACTGTAAATATATTATCTGTCAGACTCCTGATCTCATCTCTGAACTGAAAAGTTTTGAGGGTTTCCAGCGTTGGTGCTCAGTGACCATTTTTCCGTCCTTCAATAACGACTTTAGATACTATGTTTTAATACTAATTTGCACAAGAGCTGCAAATAATAATTATTTTTGTCGTCAGATAGTCTGCAGGTGATTTTCTCAAATAAAAGATTAATCAAATTGTCAGAAAAAGCTTTATTAGAATTTCCCAGTCTAAAATGGCATTTAAATTCAGTTAACTATCATATGACAAAAGCATCAGATAAGTTCATTTGAGAAGCTGAAACCAGAAAATTAAATTAATAAATTATCAAAATATTTGCCAATTAATTGTAACGACTGACTGATAAATTGACGAATCATTTCATCTCTAATATTCACACAGTTTTATAATTCGTTGACAAAAAAATCTCAGTCCAAGGTTCAAACAGCGAAGTAAGCGACGGGAGTTTAATGGAGGAAATCGATCAGTGAGAATGAAACACTCACTCCTGTCAGAAAGGCTGATAACAGGGTGTAAATATTAACATTATGAAATCATTTACAGTTTGATGTGGAGTTTGGAGTTTGGTCTCTGATCACAATCAAGTCAAAGTGATGAATATCAGGGTTTTGAGTTGCTGCTTTGCCGTTTGCTGTGTCAGTGTTTGACACCCTGCCGCTCCAGACAGGAAGCAGAAATATGATAAAAATCACCTCTGATATAACCTTTCAGAGTTCACCTCCTCCTGTCCTGGTAAGCCATTGTGTTGTTGTTGAGTGCGGGTCAGTGTGTAGCTATAAATACACAGCAGCAGCTTAATGAAAAATCCATTAGCAGCCTGGAGCTGCGGGGGGGACGGCCGGCTGAGAGGCTGTGATGTAAAGCCTGCAGCGTGTGGAGCCTCATGCTTTAGTGATGATGGAGTTATCAATAGCTGATGAGGAGAAAGAAGTTGACAGAAAAATAGTGTAAAACAATTTAAAACAATCTGCGATCCTTCAAATCCCATCTCAAAACACACCTCTACAAACTTTCTTATACAATCTATACAATCATATTTATATTAAGCAACTTTATTTATTCTAACTTACTGTCTGTTGCTATTGTATATTTGATTATCTCTTACTGTGTGCTGTAAGGTGTGTATTGTCAGGAAGAGGTTTGCAGAGTGTAACATGTTTTCTGTTTCCAGGTGGCACCTTCGTCGTCACTTTGGGAACGTCAGAGAAGTCTGAAACCATGACGTGCCGCCTCTCCAACAACCACAGGTGAGCCTTTTAAATTCCACAGGTAGTACATTAACATCTTCTGTCTTTCCACATCTGGTGTTCGTGTCTCACCGTGGGTAAAGTTTCAGTTTTATCTGCTGATACCTGCCTGTAAAAAGTGATGCAACTAAACCAGTAAAGTTGAAACTCTTATTGGTTAACTGGGATGAGAGGTAATCGATCAGAGAGCCAATGACATGACGGCAGCTCATTCAAGAAGGAAGATGCTGCAGTGTGAAACAATAAACAGCCCAATATTACTCATAACGAGAAACAACAAACAAACAGTTACATAGAAAACAAAGAGAGTTGGATCGATCTTTGTTTGGCACCTTAAGTTAATCATTTTAAACGTTTAGATATTTACCTCAGTAGTGGTTAATGTTTAGGAGCGTTTGAAGCACATTCTTTTATCATGTGAACACCGTCCATCTGAAGTGGCCTCAGACACGATGAGGGTCTATCGGGATGAAGGATACCAGACATGTACAGAGCCGAAGAGTCATAAAAGTATTAGATTTAACACAGATCTCATCACTTGTGCCTCAAATATACAAAACTCCAGATCATAAATATGAAACTTTCCTGGTCGACGGTGACGAATCCAGTTAAAATCAAAAACTAATACCGGTTTGATGGCACCAGAAAGATTGACAGTGTAATTATTAGTCAAAGCAGTTTGATTTATTTATTTATTTATTTTTCTGACCTGATCATCAGGTATCTGTTCCTGGACGGTGAAAGCCACTTCGAGGTGGAGCTGTCTCGGATGTCCAGCATGCAGATCCTGACAGACGGGACGAGTCCAGGTGAGACGAGTCCTGTGTCTGAGTAGAAATAAAAACATAGTATTAATGTGTTCAGATTAAAATGTCAGGTGCTGATGCTTATTATTCTTTCCACTGTATAAATTATAATTCAAGACGTCGTCTATTCCTCTTGTGCTGTAAATGATGCTCTTGTTTTTTGTCCTTCAGATGGACTCACTAACCAACTGATGAATTTCTTAATTAACACTGAAACTTGTTTTTTTTCCGAGCTGACACTAACAAACTCTTTCTCCTCCGCTGCTTTGACTCTGGCGGCCCGGCTCCTCTTCCTCTGGGCTCAGAGAATGACATTCACACTTACACCAGTCTGCTGGACAGTCACTATATCTCTGAAGGTTAGCTTCGGTTCACTCCCCGCGGCCTCCACTCATTGTTTCCTGTGGGTTCACGTCTGTCTGCATGAAAATGAAACCACTGATGCTTCTCTCTTTTATTTTTTTTTACACCTCACTGAGTCCCAAAGGCATCTTGGTGGGAAGTGAAACACCACAAATTTCAATAAGTTGCTCCCACATTCACGTATGTGGCCTGACTCTTCTGTTCTGGTCTTTAATGATGCGCCAGAAAAAAACTGCTGCAAAAAGACAAGATGCTAAAAATGCTGTAAACAAAGTGAGTATGTTTGTGAGTGTTACTCAAACTTTTCTACATAATGGGAACAACACGGCAGCACATGAGCTCAAACCCTCTTAAAGAGGAATTAGACACTAAAACATGATGCTGGTGCTTTTGGGAAACTCGGTGTTTACAGTCAGTGTGTGCGTGTCTCCTCCTGCGTTCAGCATGTCTGTGTCTCAGAGCAGCGAAAACATTTCATCATAAACCTCCTCATCATGTGGAGTCCTGTCAAAACAAGGCTGATTTACTGAGTGAATTGTCATCATCCATCTGTGCTTCATTTTATTTTGAAGGACAGTGTCGCTGTGTTTTTCCGTTCTGTTCTCTCGTTGATTGAAATCTTCCAGTTCAGTTGTGATTGATTTTTAATCCTCTGCCATCTCTCTGTTGCATCTGTGTGTTTGTGCATCGATCACTTTTATGGCTTCGTTATTGATATTGATGAGGCTGAGCAGTTCTGTGCAGCTGAAATTTATATATATATATATATATATAAATAAATAGATATTTAAACATTAGTTTTGGTTTATTATTTTGTTTACTAAAAATGTAACTGTACTGTACCCTTCCCCTTTTTCTTTATCATTTAAGCTCATCTTTGTTCTTTCATTAAATAACCTGCAGCTGTTTTTAATGAGCTGAAGAAGTTTTGTCTATTCACTGATCTTAATGTTAGTGCTGGATAATAACAAACTTAATCTGTTCAGTGTTTATAGTCAAACCTCTTAAATCTCATTAGTAACAGTCTTTAAAATGTCAAGATCACTTTCTTCAAGATGTCCTCCAGTCTGAGCTGATTACTTACATTTTTCTTGCTGTCTGATTTTTTTTAGACAAAAGAGGCACATAAGGGGCGTCGTGTAGCGTAGTGGTTTAAGCAGGCGCCCCATGTGTAGAGGCTACAGTCCTCGCTGCAGTCGGCCCCGGTTCGAATCCCGCATCGGACGGCCTTTCACTGCATGTCATTCCCCCTCTCTCTGCCTCCCCGTTTCCTGTCACTCTCCACTGTGCTGTCCATTAAAGGCATAAAAGCCCATTTTTTTTTTTTTTATAAGACAAAAGAGGCACATAATGGGCTGCTACAAACGATTATTTTCATCATTGATGATCTATTATTTTTAATCTATTATTGATAATATCTTATTAATCTATTAAATGGCAGAAAACTGTGAAAATCATCACTTCTCAGTTTCTCAGCGTCCAAGGTGACGTCTTCAAAGTGTCTCGTTTTGTCCAAACATTAAACCAAAGTTCAAAAATGTTTAGTTTAATAATATATAACAGAAATGTTATGTGTGTGTGTGTGTGTGTGTGTGTGTGTGTGTGCGTGCGCAGGAGGGACGTCACGGGCCAGTGGTATGCTGCTCCATTACAAGCCAATGGGCTCTCAGGACGCCCAGCAGCTCCGCATGGAGGCAGCGGACGACAAGAAGGTGGCCTCGTTGTGGTTGGCTGCAATGCACAAGGTAACGATAAACGAGACAGAAAAGCTCCCACTGCTGGCACTTAAAAGACAGATGCAGTGGTGACACGTTTGTCCAACACGAACACAACTTCTCTCATCCCGTTGCAAACAAAGAAGTTCGTCTCCTGCTCCAGACTCTGCAGATAAAATCAGCTCCAGTAAAGATTCCCTCCTGAAACACAGCTCAGGTTTCTCGTAATCAGAAGAGCATTTTTCTAAATCATCATAAAAAATGAACATAGTCTTCAGTCTCTTGCTCAACAATTGGCAAAGTTCATTTTTAAGTTGAAATAAAAAACAGTGCATGAACATTTGAGTGAAGGATTGTGAAGGACGGTGCAGCTCAGGCTGATAGAAGTGCTGCGGAGCCAAGTCTGCAACGTGGCCTTTCCTCTAGCGCCCCCGTCAGGCCAGAGATGACATTTTTTCCTCACGTGGAATAAGAATCTAAAATTGAAAAGTTGTTTTTACATTTTATTGCATTTTTAATTTCCTATTTTTCATCCAGCAGTTTTGTTTAATGGCTTTTAGTGACTTGGTGTGAGTGCTGGTCTTAAAACGCACAAAAACATGAAACTAAAACGCAGTAAAAACACAATAAGACATTAAAAGTGCCGGTACTAAAGGTGTGGGATAAAGTCAACGACAATAAATACAAGATAAGAAAGCTAAAGTGCTAATCCCTGTGGAGAAGCCACCGGTTTCTTATAATGTATTTGAATTATAGGCAATTATTGTGCATGGGATAATTGATATGTTTCTTTTTAATCTCTGTCTTCCCCTCAGGCGGCCAAACTTCTGTACGAAGCTCGGGACCAGTGACGTGCAGAACGCCTGCAAGACTGAACCTCCAGGCAGCACACACCCAAGTGTTTTGTACCCGTCTCACCGGGGTTTGGTATCTTTTTGGATTTTATTAACGCCAGTTCTGATTCTGCTTATCCGTCTGATTCCTCATCGGGTCTTGATACCAGTTCTTATCATGGTAATTTTTTGCAAGAAAGAAAAGTTTATAGAAAACAAACACTTTATTACCTCTATAACCAGTACTTTGTACTTCATGTTTACCACACGTGGGCTGATTGTTCTTCCTTTTTGCATTTTGCTCTTTGATTTGAACATGAATCAGGGCATGCAGCATTAATGTTTATATATATAAAAGTGTGACAAACTGAGCAGTGAGGCAGCAGGAGCAGAAGCTTTCCAACACTAGTTAGTATCTTCTGACTTTTGGAGGCTTCTGCGTCTGATTCCTGCTCTTTTACTTTCTCAGATTTGAGAACTGGACATTTTGTTCGCCACGTGATCCTGTGATACTTACAGTTCGTTTTTATAACATCCATGAAATGTGACATTACACCTTTCATAAAACCATTTTTTCATAACTTCACAGATGCCACAGTTGTTTTAATGACGACACGATAATTTTATATGCTGCTGTTCAATTTTCTTTAAATTTTTTTTTCTGTCAACGAGGATTTTATTTCCTGGTAGAAGTGATGCGACACTTTATGGATCCCTGTGGGATCTTCGCTGACCCTGCTTCCGTAGAGGTCGGCCAAACAGCACCAAGTAGGGACGGAGCGTCTCGCTCAAGGAACCTTCAGCAGAACCCAGATCTTCCACATAAAGCAAAGGCCACAGGTTAAAGGACAAATCCGCCTTAAAACCCTTTAAAGCAGATAGAAAAGCAGCTGTGTGGGATGGACTTTGCATTTCAGGGAGTTTGTTTGGTTTAGCTTTTGGTAATCTGGAGAACACAGAGCAGCGTTTAGGAGCTAAAGAGCCAGATATTTCCCTCAGCAGGTGGTGGAGACCAAAAACAGAGCTAAAAGAGAGGGAACACTGGGCCCCCCTCCACATGAATGATCAGGTTCTTCTGTAACTGCTGGATGTGGAGATTAGCAACTGTTTGCTCTCAAGTTCAACATGTAAACTTAAAGGTCAAATGCTAGTGTTGTGTTTACGACTTATTCCCGCTTCCCTCAAGTGGCCAAATGTTGTTGTCGCAGGTTTGAATCAACAACTTGAGTCACCTGCCGAATAAATCTAGACATTTATACACACATACACAGGTGAATTTAAATAGACCTGGCAGTTGTGACACAGCTGGATTGGATGGAAATTGGCTGTTGAATATTACGATTAAATGTCAGGTTTTAATGCCAGTTATTTAAAATCAAGGGCAAAGACTTTTCTCTTGGTGTTTAATTTTATTTTCAGCAAATTGAGCAGGCAGTGAGGGGCATTCTGGGAAATGTAGGACAGGTAGAAGAGGCAGCTTGAGAGAATAATCCCCTGAAATGCAAAGAACATTACAGATTCATCCACAGTTTATATAAAAGTGACGTCACCTGGTTGATTTTTCCTTTAACAGTTGAGTTTGAGATTTAAAGTTCAGGTGACACGTTAATGTTTTCCTCTCTGTGGGTTGTGTCAGTAATTCTTCCCTCTGCTACGAGTATTTACAGATTTAAATCTTTGGGTGTCTGAGGAGACTTCAGACTATTCACTGATTCTTGTGAAGCATAAAAACACAGACACATAATAAATGCTTTAAATGTAGTTTCATGTATTCAAGTTTTGTATGAGCTATTTTGTTTAATATTCCTACTTTAACACGAGGTGTGTGTATACGTACTTACATCATTTTTAAAGCTGAAGTATGACTATAGTTTTTGTAACTCTTGTATACAGTTTGTTTCCTTATGTCCTTACTCTGAGGCCTAAACAGAGTCTGTGTTTCCTCTCTGTGTTATTGTCATTGTGCAGAGACACAACCACGATGTCAACTCGCCGCCTTCCATCAACCAAACGCCGTTCACCTCTGGTTGAGTTGGTGGGTTTGTCAGTTTGGCAGGTTGTTAGTCGTGCTCCCGAGGACCTATTGTAAACAGAAACCTAGTTTAGACAGAGGTGGTGAGTGAGTTGACTAAATTTTAGTGCGAGAAGAAATGTAATCATCGCTGCAGCCAAATATATAAATATATGCTCCGGTTGTTGAAAAGATTTCTGATAGTTAGCCCCAGTCTGTGCCTCTTATTTATTATCATTTTGCGTCACATTAAAAGAATTCAACTAGTCAAACAGGGAGTGACTTTTATTGTGAAGCAGCCACAGGAAGTCATTGATCAGTCGAGGCGTCTAAAAAACAAGATGCATATTCTGCGTTGTTGACTTATTTATTAAAGCAGCTCAAGTTTTCTTGGTGGTGCTGTAAACAGACACACCAGTTGTTGTTCTGAGTTAAATGCCACAGAAACCACACGTGTCACTAAATCAACCCTTTCTGCTGTTTATAATGTTTCCTGAATCCTCAACAACTCTTTTATCTGCTGCACGTTGATAAAGATTTTTTACTTCTTTTAAGTGGATGAAAATGACATTTCCTTCCCCAAAAGTTTTTGTTAATGTACAAGTTGAGTATGAACTTTTTTTTTGTTTTTATAGTAACATCTTAATATGGAGTTTGAGTCTTTTTTTAATCTTTCAGCAGACAGAATATTTTTTCATCCAGATGTTTAGTAGCTGTAACTTCTGGGGTTTTCAAAGATTTCTGGGTATAGATATTTTTCACAAAAACACAAGTGAAATTTAACTGTTATACATGAGAGGTGCAGGCTGGGGCCGTCTGAAAGTCAAACTTCTTTTTAGTTGATATTTAAAGTTTTCCTAACCCCGAGTTTCTCCTGATGCAAGTGTTTGATGCCATGTCAGCACTGTGACATTACTCCTACAGATCCACCCACAAAGCCCCAGTTTTCCTTTAATTTCCCTCTTTAAATTTTGAAAGAAGGAAAGAAAGCAAGAACATTTTGAGGCACTGTTTGATCCTATAACAAAGTCAAGATGTGTATTTTTTGACATTTTCATAATTGAAAATCCATTTCAGCCTAAACATGAAGTGAATTTGTACATTTAAGCTTTAATTTAAGATGATGCAAGATTGTAAACTAAGCTTATGTGTTGTGTTGTGACACAAAACTCTTGACTGTGCTTACTAGCTTTTTCAGGAGCTTTCAGCCATATCTCACAGTCTTCCTCAGCAGGTGGTGTATGCTCAGTTGTCACCTGGTCACTAACCACCTTTATAACAGGTCATCATACTTTATTTGAATTATTCCGTGTGTGATGAATACTAGTCAAACTATGCTGAGATGCAGTTGAAATCTCTGGAAAAAAAGATAGTAAGTGGACCTTGAGTTAGGATTTAAAAAAAAAACAACAAAAAAAAAACACTTGCGTTTAATTCACAACCATGCGTGACCTTAAATCTGAGTAAACACGTGCATTGTAAATGTACAGTTGGACTTCAGTTGCTAACGCCACGCGCTACATTTAGCTGAGATCACCAGGTGTCATTGACTTCACACTAATTATCATTTTATTTTGAAAATCTGGCTGGCTGTCCGTGCGTGCGTCTTCCCCCTCCTTGTCCGAGCTTGAAGATATAACCGGTTTTTAAAGGAGCACAGGGCGGGATGAGCGTGTGTTCGGCCTTTTTGTCGTCACGCCCCGGTGTAAACAACGTTCACCTCCTGTAACATAAAGTTTATTTTTATACGCTGCTCAACCTAAGAACTGAAATCACTAGTTGTCGTTTGGTTTGAGGCTTTCAGAACAGAGAGGAGGTTGTGAGGATTCGTGTAAAAAAAAAAAAAAAGATTTGTCTGTGTGGTCGACTCGATGTGTTACACTCACGAAGTTATCCAGTAATGTACTTTTATTTTCTTTTCAACCCCATTATCCATTATAACGCTCTTCCCATCATACGTGTGTTTGTGGTGAAGGTAGATGTGAGGGCTGCACAGTTACTAAAATCTGATTCATTATCCCAGTAGGTTAAATCTAAAAAAAAATCCAAATCATATATGATGTTGGCAGTTGTGTTCATTTAAAATATCATCACAATAACACGCTGCCATAACGCTTATATAATAATAATAATCCTTCCAAGTTTTCGTCAAAGAATCGCAACAAAAGCCAGGAAATAGTAAATATGATCATATGTGACCTGCTGTGCAGCCCCTTTTTACACTATCTTCACTTCAAGGTTTTTGTTGTAAGTTTGCACTACATGTAAAATCACCCCAAGTCATTACTCAGCCAGTGTTTGTACCTGCACTTTATGGCCATCCTGATGACTGTCCTTTATATCCCACTGCTTCGTTTATTACGCTGAAAATGCTGAACCTACACCCCTCTGTTGGATTATTCTGTTGAGAATAAAATCAAGTGTTTATACGTTTTTGTGATGTCGTTTGTGTCATTTGGAGGAGGAAGCGTGCACCATCAAACCATCTCTGACATAAACACATATATATCTGTATTAGCTATGAGTGTTGCCAGGAGAACAGCGGCCTCGATAATAATTGAGAAGTGAAAGAAATCTGGACCCACGAGGACTCCGTTAGAGTCGGCCGTCCAACCGAACTGTTAACAGGCGGTGAGGCTTTGGTTACTCTTAACCCTCTGCAGAGATGGTGCGTTTATGGTGGAGTAACTAAAAGGAAGCCACTTTGAGTACAAGGCGCATGACAGCCTGCTGGAGTTTGCCTAATGGCATTTAAAAAGGCCTCTGAGAGCACGAGGAAAAATGTTTCTCTGATAAGATGAAATAAAACAAACTGAACCTCCAATGGCAGATCTCCAAATACTATATGTGATGAACACCAGTTCTGTGACCCTGCACAAGGTACACAGGTTAGGAAATGGGTAAAGAACAACATTGACATAAATACACGTTGAAAGTTTATAATAAAACTCACTGCCAGTGTCAATTATATCCTGTGGTGTTTCTATCAGAGGAGGGGCTGGGAACAGTTTTTTCTTGGTGTATTTTGCCCATGTGTTATAAACGTAGTTCCTTTAAGAGACAGTACTGGGTGTTTGTGCGAGTGTGGCGTGAGTGGGCGTCTGGGCGAGCAAGAGAAAGCGAGCGCGCGAGCAAACTGAGTACAGAAACGAGCTGGCAGCAAACAGCAGAAGTAGTCCGGTTAGTAGTAAATGTAAATGTAGGTCTATGTAGTTAATGTAGTTAATAAAGGCTGCAGCTTCTCAAGATCAAGTGGAGCTCCTGTGTGTTGCTTTCCAACTGCTGGTAAAGGTGAAGGGGGCTAACCCCGAAGTGAGCAGCATCAACTTCCGCCCTGGAGCTAGCCAAATCTCCCCGGTGCTCTCTGACTACGGCCGGGGAGCTGAAGCAGGAACCGTTAACACTGATTTCTTTTCACTGGTGATGCAGAATCACTTCTAAAGGTATAGTAACGACGTGTTTACACTTTAACTAACATTATAACAGTTGTAGTAGTAGTAGTAGTAGCTGTAACATTAGCCTAGTAGTAGTATTAGCAAGCATTACAACCGTTGGAACCGAGCCGACGAACCGTGCGTTTGAGAACTTTTAAAGGTTTTTACTTGTGTTTTTTTCCCACCACTTTCTAAGGAAGTGAAAATAGTGCGAAAGCTTTCCGTGTCTATGAGTTTCTATCGGGGGTTTCTATCGACGGACTCGCCCGACAGACTCGCCGATGTCGCTTACTTTACTGGAGCGTTTGTCGTGGACTAATGTTCGGATGCAAGTTTATTTTTTAACTTTTAGTTTGAGCTAGTAACGTCAAGTTTTGGATAATCGATACTTCAGGATGGGGGTTGGGGGGGGGGTGGGGCTAACATAACAGATGCTGTTGTGTGTCATTTGTATGTGGGCTTTATCACACCGCTTCCGATTTACATCTCGGTGGCTTTTATGAACCGTGTGACACTCGTGCCCCACTGTCGTACATACAGTATATTGTCTCAGAACGAATAATGTTACGACAGTGCTGCGTGCGATTTACAAATTGCGGATAATGTCGTTTCTTTCCTGGCACCCCATCGGAGCGTGGCTGCGGTCGTGTCATGTTGTTTTAGAGAGGTGCTGATTCAACTGTAAGGTCAGTCTGAAGGATGAACTGTAACCGTTATTATAAACGGGGTGGACAAAATAAAAGAAACACCAAACAGGGTTTAGAGGAAAAACCACTGCATTTACACTTTTCTGTGAAATTTTTATTCTGTTTGTGAAAACAGAATAAAGGAATGATTTTGCTGCTTTTTTAAAAACTTTTTTTTTTACCTGCTAGACCATATCAGACCAGGTCTGGATCATACTGGATAATACTTAGACTTTTGAAGACTTGACTAGATTAACAAGGAGAATGCAGACATTGTTTAAAACACAGTTTCAGATATGTGAAATATTTTTTATATTTGTCAAAACTTAATAAATGGAGACTTTTTACTTTTTTTTTTTACATCCAGACTATAGGACTGGAAAACAAAATACAAGACACAGTGTGGCCAGTGTTGTGGCATTATTATAAAGCAGTGAAATCGTAATTTTTTCGCTTTTTCACCAATAGAATAAAGGTTTCACAAATGTGTATCTTTGCTTTTAACAATCTTTATACTTTCCCTGTTAATCTAGTCCAGATTTGACAGGTGACACGTGACAAGACGTGAAAAAAACTGTGAAATTGATGAAATTGACAATCTGATGGCCCAATGGTTAGGGCGCATAAAGTTTTCACAAATTTAGTGTCAAGGATTTAACTTGAATGTCTGACACCTTTCATAACAATAAGAGGTGCAAGTAATGCAGTATTACTAACTTTGAAGCTAACTTTGGCGTCATGTTGTAACAGCTGTTTTAAGTACTTCAACACTATGATTTATGACAATTATTAGAATATTTTAATAACTTTTAGTGGACACCTGTTATTCAATTTATAAGTTTATAATCCGAACTTTGACATCAGGTGATCGTCAAAGGCAAATAAACTCAGCATCTTATGGGCATAAAAGGCAATGCAGCGTCCGATATGAGAACTCAAAATTGACAGTTTCCTGTCAACTCTGTCAACTCCTGAACGCAGCCTGTGTTTTCCATTTTCTCTTTAGGAGTTCGGTGTGTTTTTGACTACTTGATGAGACCAGACCGCAGCTCAGAGGTGAGATGACGACCTCTAACCTGACTATTGGTCACAGTGTTAGCTGTGAGATTTCTCCTATTCACTCCTTAGTCCATAATTTTTAATCAAAATGAAACTGAAGAAACTATGTGTTTAAACTGCGTACTTTTCAGCTATTCTTTTAACCATGCAGGAAAAAGCTTAAAAGACCAGCCCACCGTCTCTCCAGCTATATGTCCATGAGCAGTGACGGAGCAATGGATCATCCTACATTTAAAAAAAGACACCGTTCTGATGAACAGAGGTGAGGACTCAACACTGATTATGGTTTGCTTTTTGTCACTCACTCAGGTGTAATATATAAAGTAGGGGTGGGCGATATGACGATATTAGATCGTGAAGGATTACAACGTGAAGACGATCTTTCAAACTGCAGAGATCGTGGGATCGTCTAGGGCACATTCTATAAATTGCAGTTCTATGCTGATGCACCGACGCACCAGACGTATTGACGTCGTCAACCTGACCGACCAATCATAGCGAATTACGGGCAGTGACGCACTTTCCTACCCGCCTCCTTGTTTGTGTGTGTAGCGGTAGCACATGGAGAGCGGTGGCTGAAAGCCAAACGGAGTCGGTCGCTAAAAAAAATTCCACCTCCATTATATGGAATTGGTTTGGATTTTCCGCAACTGATCAAGCGCAAGCAAATGTAATTTGCAAAGTTTGCACAGAAACCGTTCGCACGTCGGGTGGTAACACGACGAACCAGAATGTTGTTGTTGTTTACCTTAAACTTTACGTTGTTTGCACATGCAGGCAAAACTGCGACTATTTGAAATAAAATCTGTTAAGAAAGGTTCTTCGGTCTAAATTGTCTGTTTTTCTTTTTCCAATTTAAGATCGTGATAAAATCGAAATCGTGATTTTATTTTTAAAAAATCGTGATATGATATTTTTGCCATATCGCCCACCCCTAATATAAAGTTTTAAATGTGTATTTGGCCACTTATGAATAACCTAACATAGGAGGAAAGTAAACCTACAGTAAACCAGTTACACTTGCATCTGCAAAAGCTAAGAAACTAATTTATGATAAATAATGTCAATGATAACAGGGTTTCATCCACAGTTCAGGCTCAGTCAAGAGCTCAGTCAATTACTCCCCAACCTTATGAAATTTATTAATGACATATTTTTATCCTCTTTGACTGGCCAAAACATCTTTTTCTTCAACTATATATTTATTATTCTATTCCTTATGCACACACCAAAATTCAGAAAGCAAAGCATGTATTTAGGCACTTTCAAACAAACATCAGTATAAAACTCATGAAATGACTTTCTTCTCAGGCAGAAAACAGTATTTTATTACGGTAGTATTACTATTAGGGTACCCGCTAATAGAACATATCAAAATTTTGACTAAAGTATGAAATTATATTTGATTAAATAATTTCACATCGTTACTGTCTGGATAGTTCTCCTCCATCATCTATCAAATCCATTCATGTCACAAAAGCAATAAATAATAATAATATATCTCCAAACGTTTTTGAATATCCTTTTTCCCTTTAATATATTAGTTAAACTTGGTAGGTTAGTTTTTTTCCAACATAATACAGTCCATCAGTTTGTGTATTGCCCTTAATAATTCCTAATAAAATCATATGTTGACCATATTGTAATGTTTACGTATAAAGTTGTGTCATAACCATGTTTTCTACTTGTCTGCTGTTCAGCACGTTTCTCTCCTCAGAAGAGGATATGGAGGAGGACGATGCAACAGATGATTGTCATATCGTCCCCTCTTCAGACCATCGGTGAGTCAAACTCGTCACACTGGCTTTAAAATGAAAACAGCTTTTTTTAAAATTTCAACAGTTGAATTAGACGTTGTAGTTTTGCAGAACTGAAGCGTATAGAAGAGAAGGGAGGGGTTCCTTGAACATCTATGTGGGTTGTTCAGTATATCTATTTTTCTGTTTCAATAAGTATTTGTCACCACCCAGATTCAGTCCTAGTGTCCACTGTGGGCAGTGTGAATGATTTCCTCTGTTTCTGTCAGGAAAAAGTTGAGAAGAGAAGCTTCTCCTGCACCGAGCTCTGTGTCCATGAGGAGTGAGAGGTCAAAGAACATACCTCTGTTATTCAGAGATGGCTTGGTGTCCATGACCAATGACTGGATGCTGAATCCATTTTTTCCAATTGATCAAAGGTGAGGACTTAACACTGCTTCCATAATTTACGCTCTCACAGTCACACACATTCACGACTGGAAAATCAGCTGCCCAGTACAACCAGTTTGATCCAAGTCAACACTGGGCAACTCCATTGGAATAGTGACTAAACATAAACAGTGCTGACACACTCATTAGTGACTTCAATTGTGAGAAGAGCGATGAAAAAGACCAGGGGCCTCATTTATCAAAGCACGAGAAGGACAAGTTCTAAATGTCTGTGACAAAAGAGGCGGACAAGAAAGACGAAGAGGAAAAATATGACAGACAGTGGACTTCAGGACATAAGTCTCTCTTTGAGTATATCCCTGCTCCACTACTGGTGTTATTGTGTGACCAAATTGTATGCTGCTCTCCAGTCAAATCTGGCTGCTGAGAAGCAGAGATCACCACAGAAATAAACAAAGTTCTGTTAAGTTAAACTGTTTTATAATGATTTTATTTATTTATACACTCTTCCACAAGTGGCTTGATGAATAAAAATACAGCACAGGGGGCAGGTGACTGACAGATAATTCAATTTACATGATGGTCAGATAAAGAATTGCTCAAGACGCTGTGTACACACAGTTGATAAATTAGACCCCAGGTGGTGAGGGAGAGTGCGTTATACTGGGATATATGCCCTAGTCTAAAATGTAAATATTCTCCGGTGTTTCTTTCAGGAAAAAGTTGAGAAGAGAAGCTTCTCCTGCACCGAGCTCTGTGTCCATGAGGAGTGACCAGTCAAAGGAAATACCTCTGTTATTCAGAGATGGACGCTGCTCTGCTGATCAGAGGTGAGGATTATGTGAATATGAAAACCTCCATCATTACTTTCATCATTCACTCATGTACTGCAGCAGCTGGTGAGGCAGGATGGCTAACAAGTTATTTTCCCACCCTGGTCGTCTTCCTCTTTTCCACCAGAGTGAAGAGACCAGGTTCCCCTGAACTCAGTGGTGTGTCCCAGAGGAGTGAGAGGTCAAAAGGTCACCTCACCGATGTCAGAAAAAGACCCTCTTCTGATAAAAAAAAGTAAGTTTTACTAACATTAGAATCTAACTCACTGACAGATTCTGAAATGAAACAAAATAAAGAACAACACACAAAGGTGAATATACACTCAATTTACTGCCAGTGTGTGGATATATAGAAAACAGTTTGTGTATTTCCCTTAATAATTCCTCACATAAAATCATACCTTAACCATATTGTAATGTTTACGTATAAAGTGGTGTCATAATCATGTTCTTTACTTGTCTGCTGTTCAGCATGTTTCTTTCCTTAAAATTTCAACAGTTGAATTAGACGTTGTAGTTTTGGAGAACTGAAGCGTATAGAAGAGAAGGGAGGGGGGTCCCTTGAACATCTATGTGGGTTGTTCAGTATATCTACTTTTCTGTTTCAATAAGTATTTGTCACCACCCAGATTCAGTCCTAGTGTCCACTGTGGGCAGTGTGAATGATTTCCTCTGTTTCTGTCAGGAAAAAGTTGAGAAGAGAAGCTTCTCCTGCACTGAGCTCTGTGTCCATGAGGAGTGAGAGGTCAAAAGGTCACAGCATCAATTTCAGAAAAAGACCCTCCTCTCATAAAAAGAAGTAAGTTTTATTAACATTAGAATCTAACTTGCAGAAACACAGACTCTCTGAAATGAAATTAAATAAAGAAAGTGAATTTATAAAGTAAGTGTAACCAATTAATCCTCAGTCCTAGTGTCCACTGTGGGCAGTGTGAATGATTTCCTCTGTTTCTGTCAGGAAAAAGTTGAGAAGAGAAGCTTCTCCTGCACCGAGCTCTGTGTCCATGAGGAGTGAGAGGTCAAAAGGTCACAGCATCAATTTCAGAAAAAGACCCTCTTCTGATAAAAAGAAGTAAGTTTTACTAACATTAGAATCTAACTTGCAGAAACACAGGCTCTCTGAAATGAAATTAAATAAAGAAAGTGAATTTATAAAGTAAGTGTAACCAATTAATCCTCAGTCCTAACTCACTGACAGATTCTGAAATGAAACAAAATAAAGAACAACACACAAAGGTGAATATACACTCACTGAGTAGTCACCAAGCAGAAAAACATCCATTAATGAACAACATGTCCAACCTTGAGGTGGATGAGCTACAACAAAATGCCCAACCGGTCGGATACAAGCTGACACTGGGCAGCTCTAGTGGAATAATGACTTGCTATATGAGCGTACAACAATGGTTTTACATGTCGGTGCAGTTACAGGTCATGCCTCCAGAGGGAGCTGTGCAAAGTCTGATAAATAACGGTCTGAAAAGTATGAAGAATTTTGAGAATAGGAAAAATGTGGGAGGGTGGGGATATGCTTGAGCATACATTGAGCATCAGGCCAGAGCATGGGTGTGACACTGGCGGGTTACAAGGAGGTGTGTGAGTCATTGATAAAATCAAATGTATTGCTTAAAGGGTATCTAATATGCTTTTCCTTATCTTCTGTCATATATATAATGTTACAGTCGTGGATGTCATTTTAAATGTGGTCAAAGATTCAAATAATGAGGTAAACGTGTGTAAAAGTCTCTGAGAGATAAAAGCTCAGGTGTCAGACTGCTCTGAACACCAGGTTTCCATCTGTTTTTTTTCTACTGTCGTGATGAGCTGATGTCAGCTCATCACAGATCTCTTCTCATACAATCGTCGCCTCAGCTGGAAATGAGCATATTAGGTACCCTTTAATGGAGATTAAACATTTGTTTGCAAGTTAAGATATAATGGAAGCTAATATATCAGAATGTCTCCACAGAATTAACCGAGGTGGTCAGTCTGCCCTGCTGAATCAAATGGACCTGGACGTTGTATTTACGGTATGTAAATGTGCAAAGATACCTTTTTCCCCTGTTACAAATGTTAACTTCCATTATATTAATGATAGTGTCCATACTGAACTTTTTAGAAGAAATGCTGTTGTGTTCTATGAGTTTAGAATCGATAGTTAATCAAATTTTATTTTCCAGCTGCTTGAGAAGAACATTGTCACTTTTGTGAAGCACGAGCTGAAGATGCTGCAGAGGTTTCTGACACCAGATTATGCAGAATCTGTCGAGGGGCAGAGGAACGATGAGGAAGTGATGCACAATGAGGAGCAAGAGCAGAGGAGGAGCACCTCAGAGGCATTTCTGAAGATCACACTGCACTACCTGAGGAGAATGAAGCAGGAGGCGCTGGCTGACGTTCTGCAGAGCAGTAAGAGGATTTTAATACCTTAAACTTGAGGGAAAGAAATGGGAGATGACTACATTTAACTGTCATAAGCAGCTTTAACAGTCACTGATTAAGGGAGGTCTACACATCTCCTTAGCATGGGTTAAAGTGTGCCAGGGCCCAGTGCAGTAGAGCCTGAATGCTTCATGGCAGAGCTGCACACCAGTTCCTGAGGATTAGCTTGAAATGTCCCACAGCAGCCGCAGGTTAGAAGAATAAATCAAAGGCACCTCAGCAATTTTGGTTTGTACCGTCAGACCTCTCTCTCAGTATTGATTAGAATACCTCAGTTCAGGATATCTGCAGAGAGAGAGAGTAGCAGTTCAACACCAGTGCTCGATTTGTTGCAAAAGCTATATAGTTATGTGGAACCAACTGGGATCACTCTCATGTTACTGTAACGCATAACTTCAGTGAAGACACCAGTCTGTGCATATTTTAATTACATCAATTTAGACAGTTTATGAGACTACATCTTTATAATGTGGTAGTAGTATCTTGACCTGTGGACAGACACACAATCATCAGGATTAGTAGGGTTGTGCTCAGGTGCAAACCTAAAACTGACCAGCTACACTAAGTTTGAATAGCTCCTCCCCAGTGCTTCTTCAAAACTCCTATTTACTCTATTTCTCTATTTACTCTAAAATCACTCATTCTCCAAAAGAAAAATCCCTTTCATTGTTTACTGTAACCTCTGCTCATGTATTCTTTGTGTTGTTTGCTCACTCAGAATGGCCTGCTGCCAATTGCCAGCGTAAAGTCAAATCTAATCTGAAGAAGAAGTTCAGTTGTTTGTTTGAGGGGATCGCAAAAGCAGGAAACCAAACCCTTCTGAATCAGATCTACACAGAGCTCTACATCACAGAGGGAGGGACTGGAAAGGTCAGTGATGAACATGAGGTCAGACAGATTGAAGCAGCATCCAGGAAACCAGACAGACCAGAAACAACAATCAAAAGTCAAGACATCTTTAAACGCACAGCTGGAAGAGATAAACCTGCACGAGTACTGTTGACTACGGGAGTGGCTGGTATTGGGAAAACAGTCTTAACACAGAAGTTCACTCTGGACTGGGCTGAAGACAAAGCCAACCGCAATATACAGTTCACATTCCCGTTCACTTTCAGAGAGCTGAATCTGCTGAAGGAGAAAAAGTTCAGCCTGGTGGAACTTGTTCATCACTTCTTTACTGAGACCAAAGAAGCAGGAATCTGCAGGTTTGAAGAGTTCCAGGTCGTGTTCATCTTCGACGGTCTGGACGAGTGTCGACCTCCTCTGGACTTCCACAACACTGAGATCCTGACTGATGTCACAGAGTCCACCTCAGTGCACGTGCTGCTGACAAACCTCATCAGGGGGAAACTGCTTCCCTCCGCCCGCCTCTGGATAACCACACGACCTGCAGCAGCCAATCAGATCCCTCCTGAGTGTGTTGACATGGTGACAGAGGTCAGAGGGTTCACTGACAGACAGAAGGAGGACTACTTCAGCAAGAGGTTCAGAGAGGTTCAGGAGCAGGCCAACACAATAATTTCCCACATCAAGACCTCACGAAGCCTCCACATCATGTGCCACATCCCAGTCTTCTGCTGGATCACTGCTACAGTTCTGGAGGAGGTGTTGAAAACCAGAGAGGGAGGAGAGCTGCCCAAGACCCTGACTGAGATGTACATCCACTTCCTGGTGGTTCAGACCAAACTGAAGAACGTCAAGTATGATGGAAGAGATGAGACGGATCCACACTGGGGTCCAAAAAACAGGGAGATGATTGAGTCTCTGGGAAAACTGGCTTTTGAGCAGCTGCAGAAAGGAAACCTGATCTTCTACGAATCAGACCTGACGGAGTGTGGCATCGATATCAGAGCAGCCTCGGTGTACTCGGGAGTGTTCACACAGATCTTTAAAGAGGAGAGAGGCCTGTACCAGGACAAGGTGTTCTGTTTCATCCATCTGAGTGTTCAGGAGTTTCTGGCTGCTCTTCATGTCCATCTGACCTTCATCAACTCCGGGGTGAATCTCTTTTCAGAAGAAGAAACAACCCATGTAAAATCTGACCTAACGTGCCTTCACCAGCGTGCAGTGAACAAAGCCTTAGAGAGTCCAAATGGACACCTGGACTTGTTAATCCGCTTCCTACTGGGCCTGTCTCTGCAGACCAATCAGATTCTTCTACGAGGCCTCGTGACAGGATCAGGTGGGAGACCACAGACCAATCAGGAAACGATTGAGTACATCAAGAAGAAGACTGGGGAGAAAGCCTCTGCAGAGAGAAACATCAATCTGTTCTACTGTCTGAATGAACTGAACGATCACTCTCTAGAGCAGGAGATCCAACAGTACCTGAGTTCAGGAAGACTTTCCAGAGAAAACCTCTCTCCTGCTCAGTGGTCAGCTCTGGTCTTCATTTTACTATCATCAGGACAAGATCTGGATGTGTTTGACCTGAAGAAATACTCTGCTTCAGACCTGGGTCTCCTGAGGCTGCTGCCAGTGGTCAAAGCCTCCAAAAAATCTGTGTAAGTGTAGAGATACTAGGTTGAATTGAATGTATTGAATATACAGTAAAACACTGCCATCTAGGAGGGAAAAAAAGAAATAACTCTGTCTTCTATCATTTCCTCTCAAGGATGAGTGGCTGTAACCTATCACACAGAAGTTGTGAAGCTCTGACCTCAGTTCTCACCTGCCAGTCTTCTATTCTGAAAGAGCTGGACCTGAGTTACAACAACCTGCAGGATTCAGGAGTGAAGCAGGTCTCAGCTGCTCTGCAGTGTTCAGATTGTAGACTGGAAACTCTCAGGTTAGATTATTCAATTTTTTTCCTGGCCTATTTCAGTGTTCACAGTAGACTGAGAGGGGATCCTTAATCTCTTTCTCAGTGTCTTTGTATTCACTAAACAGCCTGAAGCTAAAAGCTAAGAGATGCTCCAAAAAATCATAGAGCACTTTAGTGCTAAAGCAAGCTCCATAACCTTTAATCCCTCCTCTTGGCTCCTTCCCCAGACCAACATTTCGGATCTTTGCTTGAGGAAGCTTTGTGTAACTGGACTTTGAATTTTAATTGATTTTGATGTTTTGATGTTATTTGACTCCTCTCTCTTCATTGCTTCCTCAGGTTGAGTGGCTGTGAGCTCACAAAGAAGAGCTACAAAGCTCTGGCCTCAGTTCTCAGCTCCAAGTCGTCCAGCCTGAAGGTGCTGGACCTGAGTGACAACTGCATGCTTGAATCAGACATGAAGCTCCTCTCTGTTGAACTGAAGAGTCCACACTGTAAACTGGAAACTCTCAGGTTGGTGCAGCTTATGATGCGTTTTTACAATAATGTGCTGCAACTACAACCGTGTTGAATAATAATGTCTGATTTGTGGTTACACATTTCCCACAATGACACATTCTTGTGCATTCTTGCAAAATCTCGAAATTGAATAATCAAATGTAACTAGCGAAACGTAATATTGCATGTTGAATATGTTATTCACTAGAATCAAAGCACATACAAGATGAACTGATGCAAAAACTGCAAATTTCCCTATTTTTCGTGCCAGCAACATGGTTCTACAGAGGGTCGGTCAACTACAGACTGAAATACCGCAACAGCTTTTGAATTGATTATCAGGAACGACTGGTTCAGTCATTCATATTCCCTCAAGATGTGTCCTGTTAACTTTGCTGCCTTTTCATCGAGCGCCATCATCAGGTCAAAGGTGCTTTGTGTTCAGTTCATCTTCAGGGGGACATGAATGTGTGAACCACATTTCATGGCAATCCATCCAGCAGTGGTTGAGATATTTCAGGCAGGATCAAAATGGTGGGCTGATTGACAAACTGACATTGCCATTCATAAAAAGTATTACATTAGCATGGCTAAGAATACAACTAAAAGTTACTCCGGTATCCTGGGCACCTCAATAACAAGTATTTCTGCTCTTACCAGACTGAACCAATCCAGCTTCTCGGAGCAATCCTGTCAAAACCTCTCATCCGTTCTGAGCTCACAGTCTTGTAGTCTGAGAGAACTTGACCTGAGTAACAATGACCTGCAGGATTCAGGAGTGAAGCGGCTCGCTGTTGGACTGGGAAGTCAACACTGTAAACTGGAAACTCTCAGGTAAGAGTTCATCAGCTTGTTCACAGGATGCCTGATCTGCAACAGCAAGGCCAGTCCTATAAATGAATCTGGCATTGACTGACTGACTGAGTGATAAGGTTTCATCATTGGTCCACTGGCCGAATATTGGGAGTTTCCCCACTGGTTGTTGTGCTTTCAAAAGCAGTGTTGCCACAAAACAACCTTTGTCACTAGATAAATTGACTTTTCAGACCCTTTTTAACGCCTTTTTCAAAAAAGCACATGGTGACAAATCTAGTGCCTCACAAGCGCAAGGTCTGACTATCCCTCCTTAGACACACCTCTCTATGCTGACTGCATGGCAGTTGACATGAGGTTCTAACTTTCTAATCTGCTGTGATTTTGGTTATAATCACTTGTAAAATAGTCACTCAGTCTTTGTCTTTAACTGTGTCTTTGTTTGGTGATTTTGTCAGACGACGTTGTGGTTATAAAATCAGGATTTAGCAGCAGCAGCTTGGAAATGGCTTGGAAGTTAACATGTAGTCTTAATGTGCCACACTTCAGTCACTATTTCTGACTTGTTCTGACAACAGAAAGATAAGAACATGTAAATGAGAACAGTTTTATTGGGATTTTGGCTGTGTTAAAATATTGTATATGTGAGCACAGAGAGTAGGAGAGAAGCAAACCGATAAAGGATCAAAACCAGCCTTTAAAGTGGACCAGCCATATGCTAGGTTTTGGCCTAGTCTTGTTTAAAACTCATGAAGTCATGAAGTCTACAGCTGGTTGTACTGAAAATATAAAATGGTAAACTCATTCAAGTGTTTTATTTGGGTCTTTGGTTGTTTTGCTCTGGAATTTAACATGAGAAATTTAAGAACAGTATACTCATATTATTTACATCAATGTTTGTTTGTAGGTTGTCAGGATGTCGGATCACAGAGGAAGGCTGTTCTTCTCTGGCCTCAGCTCTGACGTCCAACCCCTCGCACCTTAGAGAGCTGGACCTGAGCTACAATCATCCGGGAGACTCAGGAGGGAATCTGCTCTCTGATGGACTGGAGAATCCACAATGGAAACTGGAAAAACTCCGGTATGAAGAGGCTGTTCTTCATACCTGTTCCCAGTAGCAGTGTTAGAGCAGGGAACTAAGTGGCTAATTTATGTTTTGCCATCGATGTTTTAGCAGTTTGTGCTGTATGTGCCTGGATATCAAAGCTTTACTTGGACAAAACACCATAACTCAAGAATTCATACGCTACTTATGACACAATTTTAACATAAACAGGATAAAATTATGACATTTTATATCCAAAAGGTCAAAGGTCAACTTCACTGTGACATAATGTTCTGCAAAAACCCATTTTGACCATTCAACAATTTAACTCAGGAAGAAAAGGGGAGATTGTGACCATATTTCCTGCAACTTGACTGGTTTGTGGAAGCATACAACCATGAGGTGTTAATTCTAGCTGAAGCTCACGTACTCACTGAAGCAGCATAGTGTATATAACTGGAGAGGATATATTCTGCTGCTTTGAACCATGTGTTTGATGTTTGATGAGTTTAAGTGTGCTATTGTTATAAGTTGATGCATATATGTTTGAGAGAATTTGAAGAGCAATTTGAAGGCCATGTTTCCATGAGTGTGGACGCATTACCCTGATCTCTCTCATTTCAGGCTGGACCATTGTGGAGAAGAAATGCTGAAACCAGGTCTGAAAAAATGTAAGTGTTTTTCATAGAGAGAATGCGACACATATTTATTCTTTTAGTTTGAAATCTCATCTCAAAGCATACAACATACAAACACTGAGTTGTCAGTTTATTAGAAACACCTAGCCAAAACAAATTAAATTCCCACCTGGAAATCTTTGTTAAATTTGGCACAAACATTAACTTAGACTCTGGGATTAACTGATAAGATTTTGGTGGTCAAAGGTGAAGGTCTGTATTGTGCATAGTGAACACTATATGAGCACTTTATGAGCACTGATGAACTGCTCATAATTTATTGGATTATAAACTTCCACCGATTTTATATCTTGGTCTCACCATCAGATGCATGTGAACTCACTCTGGACCCCAACACAGCGCACAGAAACCTCAAACTGTCTGAAAACAACAGATCGGTGATGAAGATGGACGACGCCATGACATACTCTGATCACCCAGATAGATTTAACTGCTGCCAGCTGCTGTGTAGAGAGAGTCTGAGCGGCCGCTGTTACTGGGAGGTCGAGTGGGAAGGGCTGCTTGATATAGCAGTGACTTACAGAGGAATACGAAGAGGGAACATGGCTGACTGCAGGTTTGGAGGGAATGACAAGTCCTGGAGTCTGTACTGCTCCGATGGTAATTACTCGGTGTGGCACAACAACCGAGAAACTGTCATACACCCACCTCCCTCCTCTGTCTTTAGCAGAGTAGCATTACATCTCGACTGGCCTGCTGGCACTCTGTCCTTCTATGGCGTCTCTTCTGACAAACTGATCCACCTCCACACCTTCAGCTGCACATTCACTGAACCTCTCTACCCTGGGTTTGGAGTAGGGACCTCAGTGTCTCTGTGTGAGATGTAAGGAGTTGTTTTTTAACTCAGGCAGTCACCCACCCCACTGCTGCATCCCCACACATGTAAAACACACACTGTTGATGTGGCATACAGAGCCATCAGTGAGTAGATATACCTACGTTATTATTTTTATTATTTACATGTTTAACATAATTTCCATTTAGTACAGCTCATGTTCAGAGTGTGGTTAAAATTGTCTGTGTTTTATGATAAGGAAAGGTTGGTTTATTGTTTGAAAAATGTAGCATCATCTAGCAGTATGTATCTAACTCCGACTAGCAGGAAGAGCGCGTTCGCTACACTGTGTTCGGGGACAAGGGAAATCTCGCGTGAACACGTTCAGAGAACGAGAACACATACTTGAGTGTGAAATTACTGTGTGTGTGTGGCGAACGGTGATGTTAAAAGACATGTTTGCTCTTTACAGGTAAGAAGGGAGAGTTAGAATCGTGTAAGTGAGGGGTGAATATGTTGTGTCGTAGTTTATGGTCCCGGTTGCGTTATATGTAGTATTGTTTATGAACGTTACTTGGTCAGCGAAAGTAACGTACCGAAAACGGCTGTTGGGACTGGTTGCTTAGTTACCTCAAGCGAGTCGGAGGATGGAGAGTAAAACTAGGAGCCGGTCTAAAGAGCCCGGACTGCTCGTGTCTAGTTCAGAAATAAATACATAAATAACTTAAAATAGATACATGGTTGATTTGATTAATTTGACAATGTTTGGTATACATGATTGGCTGACTGTGTATTTGAAAAACAAGTTGATATTGATTGTACATGATGAAAATGGTCTTGAATAGCAATACAACGGACGTGATTTATTGTTTGGACGTTAGTGTAGATGTTCATCATTTTTCTGTGTTCGAATGTCAAACACGTTCAGAGAACGAGAACACACACTTGAGTGTGAAATTACTGTGTGTGTGTGGCGAACGGTGATGGTAAAATACATATGTTTGCTCTTTACAGGACAAAATAAACACTTTTCAAATTAAATGTGTAGTGGAGGGCAGCTTCACTCTGCACCACGCTACATTGATGCATTTTGTGTCATAAATGCCACCCCTCTTTCTGAGTGTCATAAATTATTCAGACCAGACCGTTTGTGTGCCAGTTGTTCCTTATTCATTTAAAGCTCTTGCGCTTACTGCCTTTGGTCCTTTTTTCCTGTTTGTGTTTTTCAAATCTCCACAGGATGACTTTTTTTAAAGCCAGGTTGAAAGCTGTTGAAATAAGTGCATTTGATTAAAGCATTAAAATGAATTTTATTTCTATTGTTAGAGACAGACTAGAATTCAAACTTGGGATGGTTGGGAGTGTGAATGGGGGACGGAGGGTGGTAAGGGAAAAAATAAGTACGATTGTAATTTGTAGCATCACCAAGTGACCCTACACCCTTACACCTTATATTATGTGTGGAAAATTTGTAGGTTATATGAATTTTTCATAGTCTTGCCAAACTATTTCCTAAATCCTGTATCTTCCAAGTTAAACCATTCCATGTTTAATTCTGTATGTTTACTACAAATAAAGATCTATCTTTGTATCAATTGTGAGTCATCATGGACTTGATCTTGTTACCTTTTGTCATTGAAGACACAAATCCTTCACTCCACAGCCATCTTCACTTTGCCCTCCATGCCTTATTCCATCCCTTTTAATATGTGTAATCTTGTCCCAGTAATGTGCAAGAGATTTTCAAAGAGAGCAGGTTGTGTCCTGTCACCCACCAATGAGTCCTCTTGAGTTTCCAAAAAATTACATTTTCACTTGTCTCCAAAAACGACCCTGGCTTATCCAGATGTTGTTCTGCAGACTTAAAACACCGACTTATCAAAAGGTAAGATCACAGGTAAGATTTCCTTCTTGTGACTCCTCCATGCAGACCCTTTTTGTGCTTAAACACTGCACCACACTACTCCTTCCTGCAGCTCTTTGCAGTCATGTTTATTTGAAAGTTTTCTTGGTCTTCCACATCTTGTCTTGATTTACAGTTTCCATTATCTGCTATTTTTGTAGTGACATTTCAGACAGTGGAAATTTCAAGTTGGAAGTGCTTTGATATCTTTTTATAGCTTCCTGTTTTGTAGCATCACATTTCATTTTTCAGAGTCAGTCAGTTGCTTATAGGAGCCCATGGTTGCTGAGTATCACCACAAGGTTTTAAGAATTGGAGGATAAAATTCCTGATTAGTTTTTCACCTGCCTTGCAAGTCCTGAGGAGTCAATTAAGCCCAAATGAATTGAGGAAGTTCTGTGTTTTTAATAAGTAGAAGGGTCCCCAAACTTTTGCAAATGCCACAATTTGTTAAATTCATGTTTTGTACATTTTAAGCTGATGAAATAAAAGCTGCATTAACATTTTAGAGACGTTCATTATTTCATGTTGTATTTATTTCATCTGACTTAAAAAAAGAAGAAAAACAGTGGCCAAAATATAGAAAATGAGACTCTTACTTTTCAAACTGGGAGAGGTTTAAACATTTAAATAAATTAACACTGAATAACACAGTTTATTCAAGTACAACAAATAAGTGGAACATAAGCACATGAACTGGAAACATAAGGAAAGAAAAATAGGTTATTCTACTCTATCTAATTTTATTTCATTTCTCATGTCCATTTGAGTTTACTGTCCATTTAAAAGCGGCGACGTTAAGAAGTGCCTTTACGGAAGCAGGGGAGTCTTTAACCGGTGTTAAAAGAGTTAACACCGGTATGCTAACATTTGTCGGTGTGAGCTAATTTTAAATTTTTGTAACACCCAGCATTGAACATACATCACATTTCTACCTTACGTTTCCAAAAAAAAAAAAAAAACGTCACCTTTGTACAAAACTTATTCAAATCAAACGTTACCTCGACAGCGCTCCACCCCTCCGGCCCGTAATGGTCTCGTCCGTGTCTCCCAAGCATCAAACGCACATGTTGGGTGTGTTGTGCAGAGGATTGCGCTGATATTACGACAAATATTGAAGCTCTGAGGGCTGTCACGCCGCGGTTTCCTCTCCACAGACCACACACACAAGGGAATAAGTGTCACAGTCACTGAGAAATACTTTAAAAATTCACAGTCATCGCAGGAAACACTTGCAGGTGTGCGGGCGAGGAGGCTGACACGCGTCTCAGCGTGGCTGCGGGCTGCTACTGTCGGGACTCCACCGGACTGAAGGTACGTCCACCGACAACACATGCTGTCATTGTGTGTGTGCTAAACCAGCCGGGAGTCTGTTTAATCAAACCGACCCTCATTCCAGCCTGTAGTTGTGTGTCAAAGCGGTTGTTGGAGTCGGGTTCGCCGGTTAGCAGCGCTCCGTTAGCTCTCAAATCAGCTGTCAGCAGCTCCATGTGAGACTCCAGCTGTTCAACCGGATAACGGCTCGGTGGGAAAATATAAAATGAACCGGATGTGGGGGAAAGAAAGGAGACGGTTCAGGGCTTTAATGGTCAGTTCTGACCCGGGTGAGGTGGGGACTCGACATGGAGACAGCAGAGCGGAGGACGCTGAGTTAGCCGCCGGGTGCTGAACAGTGCCACGTAGCTAGCCGGTGAAGTTCTGCACAATCACTGCAGGAGGCTGCGTCTCACTCATGGATGATGATGATGGTGATGATGATAATAATGGGGGGACACTCTCAGCAGACAGTGCAGGAAGAAGCAGACTTTATCTTAAATAAATGCACCTTTACAACCATGTAAAAATAGTTAAATAGATCTTCATTAAATGATCTACACAGGTGGCACTTCATTATGGCCTCATTAACCTTCTAGAGGGGCCCTGGGGCAAAAGGACCCCTGTTGACCCCTGGTAGTTTCATTAGTTACCCAGGCACCCAGAAACCAATCTGTACCCCAGGGCTGAAATGATTAATTGATTAGACAATTGATAATGATAATTGATTAATCATCTTCCTCTCGTAGTAAACTCTAAATTTGGGGAGTTCAACTGTTGGTCAGGCAGTTAATTTGAGCCCCTGGAAATAATAATGTCCATTTTTCAATATTATTTTGCCACTTTTATAAACTAAAACAATCAATTTATCAAAGAAAATAATTGTCAGATGGACTGATTATGAGAGTAATTGTTGGTCGCAGCCTTACGGCACTGCTTTGATGGATTAATACGACCTCAGCTGAGGTTTTCTCTGTGTTAATTACTTTGTCTCGCAGACAAAAATGAAGCAGTGTGATAAAACACAAGTTTACAACAAATGAGATCAATATAAACTTAAACAATAAAGGTCCTCAACAAGACAAGGATACAAGATGGAGGATTAAGGAGCCGTCAGTGGTACAAATGTTCAGCAAATTTGAAGTTAATCAAATTGAACTCCAGAGCACCAACGCCGTGTGTGTGTGTGTGTGTGTGTGTGTGTGTGTGTGTGTGTGTGTGTGTGTGTGTGTGTGTGTGTACACAAACAATTAGACTTTTTGCCTGTTTTGAAAAGCTTCAACTATTATTATGATCGACTAATTTGCCAGTTATTTTCTTGATTAACTCATTAATGATTTGGTTTATAAAAAAAAAAAAAAAATGTCTTTGTGAAAATACATTTTATAAAAATCTGAAATTATTCAGTTCAAAACGAGAAGCAGGAACTGGAGAATATTGAACCTTTTTTGCTTCTAAACGACTGAAACTGATTGTGATTATCAAAACAGCTGCAGATACGTTTTCTGCCGATCAAACAATGGATTAATCGACTGATCATTGCAGCTCTAGTTTTCTTTAAAAAATGCCTTTTTTGTTCAGTGACCAGGTCAAAGGTCAACGGTTACATCGACTTGCACATTTTACAAAAACAAAAACAAGTGTCACAATCTAGTTGCCTGGTGAAATATTTCTCAGCTGATGTATAAACCCTTCATTTCCCTTTATTTCAAACCTGTCCTCCATATTTTCCCATCAGGCTTTGAGGCTCACCGAGCGACGCCATGAGCTCCAGGGTGTGTAAGAACTGCGGCGGCTCGGACATCGATGTGGACCAGGCGCGCGGCGATGCCGTCTGCATGGGCTGCGGCTCCGTGCTGGAGGACAACATCATCGTGTCCGAGGTGGAGTTCGTGGAGACGGGAGGCGGAGGGTCATCGGCCGTCGGACAGTTTGTCTGTTCACAAGGTGAGGATGACGAGCTGAGCCGCCGGGTCACATGACACGTTGATGAGGTCAGGTGACTCGACCTCGACATGTGAGATCATTGATTCAAATTTAAACCTTTAGGATTTTGTTCTAACATCAGTGTAGATCAGTCGTGTGTGAACTCTCCTCCACTGTTGTCCACTAGGACTCAAAGACAAACTGAGTAGACTTTGGTGGCTAAAGGTCAAAGGTCAAGGCCACTGTGACCTCACACAATGTGGTTTTGGCCTTGTAAATACAATATCTCCGTAACGCCTTGAGGGAATTTCTTCAAATTTGGTGAAAACGTTCACCTGGACTCAAGGATGAATTTATTAGATTTTGGGGGCTAAAGGTCAAAGGTCAAGATCACGGTGACCTCACAAAACATGATATTTGGCCTTGTGAATGCTATATATCAAGAACTCCTCAAGGGAATCCCCTCAAATGTGGCACAAACGTTCACTCGGACTCAAAGATGAACTGATTCGATTTTGGTGATCAAAAGTCAAAGGTCAAGGTCATGGTGACCTCAGGAAACTCTTTTTAGCCATTACTCAAGACTTCATACAGCAAGTATGACAAAATTTCACACATAAACTGGATAAACAGGAATGAAACCTGAAACTAGTCTGAGTGGTGGAGGCATTCGACCGCAAGGCGGTGATTTGTAGTTTCTATTTCTTCTGAACTTTAATTATTTCCTCTAACCTGGGTGTAAAGTTAGATGTGATAACCATCCAGAGAAGAACAGGCCACAGGTGTAAGATCAGTGTTTGTTGTGGTTTGATTAGTTTACGATCACCAACAGAAACCAAGTTGCAGACAAAAACCAGTTGGCTGCCAGTGTGATGTTTGCTGGTCTTGTTGCTTGTGTAGGGATGCATTGGGAGAGGTGGCTCTGGTCTTTGTGCTGAACTGTTTCTGGGTGTTTTCATATTAAAACTGACAAAAATTGTTGATGTGGACTCTGGACCAGCACTGATGCACAAGGATTCTTCACAGATTTTGGCCGTTATCAAAAATGTATTTCTATTTGGATTGTATGACAGTTGAGTGAGAAGTGACCAGTGATGGTTGAAGGAACGTTGACGTAGAGTTGATAGTTGAAACCTAAATTCACATTATATGTTCTGTGTGGTCGTCGTAAGAAATTTCCTTTTTTAAAGGTTTCAGATTCAGGAGTTTTTTTTTTATTACCTCATACATGCTCTCAGAATCAGCAAGAATAAATCTCAACAAATCATGACACATTTTAAAAGGTGTCCTCATGCTGTGCTTCAGAACGTGAATGATCTCGTGTGTTTGGTGTTCAGGCACAGTGTGGCTCTTATGTAATGGTTTTCTGTGAGTTACTGTGTGCGTTGGTCCACATCTGCTTATCTGTGTGTGTGTGTGTGTGTGTGCGAGTGTGTGTGTAAGTGAGTGTAACGTTGACCATGAGTTTATCTGTGACCTTCAGCCTGCAGGACCTTCTGCTCCTGCTGAGTCTGCACAAGACGACCCGTGTTAGGTTTTATCGTCTGTGGTGTAGTAGCTCTGACTGTCCACTAGATGGTGCTGCTGCACTGCACTGCACTGCCCCCTCATTTACATGGTCAGGGTATTTTGTTGTTTGTTTAGAGTAAATATAAGATAAAGCTGAAGATTCTGGAAATAATAATATTAATAACGACTTTATTTATATAGAAATGTTACAAAGTGCTCTACAAGGAAAAAATAAAACCAGATAAAAGAAAAATCCAAATTACCTGATCATAATAAAAAGTTTAGAACAGCATAAATAAAAACATCTCAAATATGTAAAAACAATAATAAGGGATAAAACAATATAAATAAAAAATCCTTTCAGAGAGAAAAAAGTAAATACTAAGAGGGTTGACTACATTTCTTTTCCTGCTGCTGCAGGTTTACATGTATTGTCTCTGTTGTAGTTTCTTTGCTGTTAAACTTCATGTTGAGTTAATCTGCATTTAGGACGTATGAAGACACTATTCAAATTATTCTGTACGTTGTAATACCAAATATTACAAGGAAAAATAAAACACTCACTACTTAGTAAGAAATATTGGCATGTTTCTATTTTCATGACTAATTAACTTCATATTTAATTTGTCGTTGAGTGTAAAAATGGGATGTTTTTGAGAAAACATCCAAACATCCAAAGCCTCGTTTGTGACAAAGGAAAAACCTTTGTGATCTGGACTGGCAGTACAGTCTTCACCTGATCGATCATGTCACAGGCGTTATTGACAGCAGATGAAGTCAGCTGCTCTGATCAGCACAGTTTAATTCATTTTCATGAATTTCTTTTATCATTGGTTGCAGCATTCAGACTTTTTGAGACTTCCACAAACGTGGATGAGCAGCTGCTCTGGAGGCTTTTGTACATAAGGTCGGAATCTGTGATGCACAAAATGATTGAACAGAAAAAAGTGGCACATCGTCGAAGCAATCAGTGGCTGTTTTCAGCTGCAGACCTCAAAGTATGAATAATGTTTAACAGCAGCTCACTTACATATACAAGACAATCAAATACAACGCAGGTGCACAGCAAAGCAGGAGGAGAGTTAACTCTCAGATCACCACAGGACGCAGGTAAAGGGACAGAAAACAGACCCGGGATCAGCAACTCTGAGGTAGAAACTAAAGAAAGAAACGACCCAGGAGAGGAATGTACTCGATTAGTTGATTGAAAGACAATGAATCTGCAACTATTGATAATCAATGAATCATTTCATTTTTTTTTTAAAGCAAAAAATAATTTGCTTGCTCTTTTGGAAATGGAACTTGATGATTTACTTTTTTATCATGTGTGATGGTCGGTTAAATATCTTTCAGTTGTATTTGTTGTTAGTTGGTTTTAAAGAAGTAAATTTAATTTTTTATTTTGTGGTGGCATTTAAACATAATTTAAAAGATTTTTTTTTTTACATTTTAAAGACTAAACAGTTGATTTATAAAGAAAGTAATCAAATCTATAATGTCAATAAAAGTTAGTTACAGCCCTATATTTGTTTTCTGTTTAATTCAGACTGTTTTATTTTGTATTGCTAAAGAGTTGCAGGTTTATTTTCTGTCTAATCCCCTTTTTTAACATGAACGTCTCTCTTCTGTGTCCTCAGATGGAGCCAAACATCCCTCCTTTGGAGACTCGCACCTCACAGGAATGGGCAGGGAGTCCCGAGCCCAGACTCTGCAGAGAGGTGAGCGACCAGCAGAGGGCGCCACACACCGTCATTACAGTCTGTGAGAGCGTCCGCTGCACATCGACACCGCTGTTTGTTCCTTTTGTTCGTCTGTTTCAAGCTGCGAGATCTTGACGGAGGTTTTCTGTTTTTAGAAGTCAGGAAATGAGTTTAGTCACTTTCTTGTTCTGATAAGTCAGAAGTTTTTGTTCTGATTGGTTGAGGATCAACAGACATTATTAAACATGCTGAAGAAGAAAAAGTGAAGTTTGACAGTGAACATTCATCACAGAGGAGGAGGAGATGATGATGAAGACAGAGGGAGTTTTTAATCTTTCAGACAGTGATCAGATTTAGGAAAACATCATCTCCAGCACTTGTTCCCCTTTTTAGTTTTTGTGCATCGACACGTTTGATTTAATCTTTGCGTGTTAAACTTCTCCTGTGGAAGCTGCTGTGTAGCAACACGTCGGCGTCTTCAAACCTCATCTGACGCCTCGGCTGAGTGATTAAAGGCTCTTCAGCATTTTCAGAGATTTAACTCCGATCTTTTTATCCTGTTTGTTCAAACGGCTCCTCTCATATCTGCATCTTAAAGTCACAGCTGCGTGAACTTCTTTTTCTTTACTGCTTTGGAGATAATGACCTCTTCTGATAACCAGAATTGTAAAAACAGATAATCTAAGGTGAAGTTTGAGGCCAACGGCTAATTTAAAAGTTTTCTCACTGATGAATAATCTTGTATTTGCAGCTTGACTAAAATAGATAAACTGTGGTGTAAAATTAAAAATTCAGTCTTGACCTTGGAGACAGCTGCGTGCGCCCTCTGTTCCCCTTATGTGTCAATCGTCTCATCTCACACTTGGAAAGAATGAAGCTAAAACGTTGAACTATTCCATTAGAGCGCCCCAGATGAGTGCGTCTACGTTTGATCCCTTCAGATAGATCCTTTATTAACCCGGAGGGAAAACCAGACGCGTCTCTCATCTGGATAATGACGGTTCGACACTGAGGATACACAGTTTAGAGAAAACCAACCAACCCATTCATTTAACGAGCGAAAGATGAGAAAAGCAGCAATTCATTTCAGGAGTTGAAAGCACTAAATCTTTGGCAGTGTTGCTTAAAAATGACTGAAATGATTAATTGATTATCAAAACAGCTGCTGAATCGACTAATTGATTAATGTACTAATCATCGCAGCTCCAGTGGGATGAGAGATGCTCCTCTCTCTTTAGGCTTGTTTTGCATCTGTAATGAGCCGCTGTCAGCTGATAACATCGGCCCTGTTGATATATCTGTCAGGCTCTACAGTGAATTCTTCCCCGTTCTGCTGGGCCCCCCCCCCCTGCAGGGACCCTGAGGGCCCCCCCCCTGCAGGGACCCTGAGGGCCCCCCCCAGGTGTCCCCGGACCTGATGCTCACAATTTTTATCTGAACAATTCTGCTGTAAAAACACGTCGACGACTTGTACAAGACGACAAACCACTGGGCCGAGGGTTGACAGGCTGTCGGGCGGAGAGCCAGAGCTCGCGTACGATGGCGGGCAGCTGGTTACCGCGGCGATGGCCAGCCGTCTGCTCAGCTGACGGTGTTTCAGCAGCGGAGCCGCAGAGTCACAGAGCTGTCAGACTGCAGCAGACGCTGAGTAATGAAGTGTGTGTGTGTGTGTGTGTGTGTGTGTGTGTGTGTGTGTGTGTGTGTGTGTGTGTGTGTGTGGGAGAAGGGATTAGTTTTGTCAGTGTGTGTGAGAGAGAAGATATGAGGAAGAGGATTGGGGAGTACTTCTGTTATATTCTGTGTGTGTGTTTCACTGTGCGCATGAGGAAAAAAGTTTTCTGCGTGTGTGGAGGCTTTGCTGTGTGTGTGTGTGTGTGTGTGTGTGTGTGTGTGTGTGTTTGGGGTTATATCAGTGTCACACACAGCTTAAAGCAGTAGTTTGAGCTTTGTGGAGAAATGTGCTTATTAGCTGTCTTGCTGAGGATGAGATTAGAAGATCAATACCTCTCTCATGTCTGTACGCTAGAATGAGGCTGGAGCCAGGAGATGGTTAGCTTAGCTTAGCTTAGCTTAGCTTAGCATAGAGACTGTAAACTGAGAGAGACGGCCAGCCTGGCTCTGTTCAGTGGTAACAAAACCCACCTCCCCGCTCCTCTGAAGCTCACTAATGGACCTTTCTCACAGCCGACACCTCGGCATGTCGGAGCATTAGTAATGGCTTCATTCCTTCGAGGTGAGTTAGTTTCAGGGTCCAGCTTCAGAGTCCGTATGTGTGGACGCCCTGAATCTCTCTGTGGCCTCTTCATCCGCAGCCGGCGTGTTTCACACAGACATATGCAGCTCGTTATGCTAATAAGGAATGTTTATGAACCAGCTCCAAACGATTAAACTGTAATTGCGTGTAACGTTTGAGCCTGATTAGCCGTGCATCTGAAAATGAGTTGAATTCTTGTAGACGTTGAGGCCGAGGCTCTTCAGCAGCACGACCTGCCTCTGCACATCAGCGGCAGAGGGAGGAGGACAGAGGAGAGGAAGGAGGACGCCTCGGAGCTTTTAGCCTCCAAGTAAAATGCTTGAGCCACTAACTAATGTAAGGGTTTGTAAAGTTTGTGTAATGGCTTCTGTAGCCTTTACATCCTTGTCAGTAAGGAGACAGTGTGGTTTTAATCAGTATACATACTAGAAGAACTTTTAAAGGTGATTACAGACAAGTTTACAGTAGATTAGTGTATTCTTTATTGTAGGGAAGGTTATTATTATCAGTTATCAGCCTCAATAAACTGATAATCATCCGTCATGTTATCGGTTGAGGGCCTTGAGGGAATTTTCTTCAAATTTGGCACAAACTTTCACTCGGACTCGAGGATGAACTGGTTAGAATTTGGTTGTCAAAGGTCAAAGGTTAAACTTCACTGTGACATCACAATGTTCTGCAAAAAGACTTTTCTGGCCGTTATTCAGCGCTGTATCTCAGGAAGTTGAGATTGTGATGATGTTTCCTGAAACTTCTGCTTCACCTCTGGACAAAGGAAGACTTGCTGTTTCCACCTGTTTTCAGTCTTTATGATAAACTCATCCAACTGTCTGTGGCTTCATATTTACTGTACAGCGGATTTGATCTTAAAGATTTCCCAAAATGTCAGACAGATCCTGTCAGTCTGTGCATTTTTGTGTGTTAGCTGGTGTGGCGTTGGGAATAGCTTTGTCATACTGTGTGTGTGTGTGTGTGTGTGTGTGTGTTTGGTCTGCAGGGAGACTTATGGCCGTCTGTGGCTCAGTGAGTCTGCAGGCGTCTCTGAGAGAGGGGGAACAGCTCATCTTCTTCTTCTTCTTCTTCTTCTTCTTCTTTCTGTCTTCCACAAACTTTCCCCCGGCGGCCGTCTGCGCCTCCTCCGTCTCACCAGCGACTGATTCATGTCTGGGAGCACAAACCCCGCCTCCTCCTTGTGTTTGTGTGTACGAGTTGGGCAATAATGTATCACCGGCCCCTTGTGTATCGGTCCACAGCACGCTGCAGTGTAGGCGTGATGACTAGAATTTAAATGTAGCTTTAAAAGCTGTTGCAGGGAAGATTTATGTGTGAAAACACACTCAGTCTGAACAATGTGAATCACAAAGTGCAGCTGCAGTGAAAAACTGAGTTCCCTTAAATCTAGATGTAAAGCTGGAAGACGTATGAATACGTCAATACTGGGATTCTACTTTGATATTAATTAACAATCAATCAAATGAGTCTAATGCTTCAGACAAACGGAGAACTAGCACCACATCTGCAGCTCTGCGGAGCTTTTCAGCCTCATTTAGCTCCTTGTTTTGGTTCAGTGGTACATTTACTGTCCCGCCAGATGTTTTATTAGGAGTTGGTGGAGACCAAACAAGATGATGATGTTTGCACATTGTTTCGCCGCAGCTTATCCTCTAAAATGAATGTTTAAATGAATGTCTATGACTCTTTATGCTAAGCTAGCTGCTCTAGCTTCACACATAATGCACAGAGATGATAGTGGTGCTGATATTCTTATCTCTCTCTGTAAGACAATAAAGACGAGACTCTTTATGTCAACATCTGGCCTCTCATGAGTCTGTGGTTGTGGGTGTGTTGTGTTGACTCTGCTCTGACTGAACAGTTGTTTTCTGACGTTTCTGAAACCACCAGTGATTTGTTCCCACATGTTCTTCTTCTTTATGTTCCAGTAACTCGTTAAAGACAGTTTGCAGAAAAGTGGGAAGCGACAATCAGCTTTTCCTCCATTTCCTGTCAAGTTATAAAGGTTTAAAGCTCCAGATTTTACACGTCTCCTGTGTTTTATTTGAAGTGTTGAACCATAAGAAGATTTATTTGTGGTTTTAAGAACCAAAACCCATCTCAGTGTAGTTTAACATCTCCTCTCTCAGGCTTCTCTCTTGAAGCTCTAGCAACAACAGGTTGGTGAGCCAATCAGAAGAGACGAGGCTCTGAGCCTCTCTTCTGATTGGCTGACTGTTTTCTGAGTGATCCAATAAAAATATAGCAGATTTCAGGTAAAAACACTCAGAGAAACCAAATCCTGCAAGGTTGTATGGTTGGTCCAGTTGGGAGGGGCTTGGAGCGTGGCTGAGAGAGGAGCCTGCTTCGTTGTGACATCACAAAGTTCCAGAAGTCCTGACGGCTTGTTTTAAGGCTCAGTTTCTGAATACAGGCTGTGTGCATTTCTCTGTGGACTGAGGCTTTGATACTTTCACAGTATTAATATAGAAGCTAGACCTGATCTATAATCAAACAACACATGGACAGAGACCTTTTTAGACTACATGGGACCTTTTAAAGCTCCTTCACGTGGTTGAGTGTGGTACTAAACGACTCTGTGCCTCTGTTTCTGCTACGACTGGATCTCGTCTGGCTGTCACTCGCTGAACCTTCCCCTGTGGTACGAAGCCGGGTCTCATTCACAATGAATAGCAGGCGTCGCTGTCCCAGCTCCTTGAGTCCGTATGTGTGAAAGCTTCTGCTCCAGGGTGTCCCAGTTTTTGTTCATGTA